AGTATCTATTAGGAGATATGCTTGAGCTAAACGTAACTAAGTGTTTAGGCAAAGAGCAGAGGTCCTTGAGCTGTGCACAGGAAAGAGCAATTGAAATGTATGGCCTGTGATTCTTGGAAAGTTGTAGTGGTGTGATCTGATGAGCCAAGACAAATTTAAGCTGTGGGAATTTGTGGGTCAATAATAGTAATCATAATTGTAAACACATTTGCAATTGCAATTGAGATACATTTTGAATTTTATGTTATGTCTGAAATTTAATGGAGAGACAGAACCCAGTAAAGTGGGTTATTCTATGGGGAAAAGAAACAAGATTTTGGGGCACAAAAGTTATCCACATATTCTTCCAAGGTCCTCGAGAGATATGGCTTCTGCGTCAGCTTAGGAGACAGTTGATGAGAAGTAATTTTACCACATAAGATTCCCTGACATCTTATGGTGTGGTGCTTCTCCCGTAGTCCCTGTAATGAGCCTCTTATGCTGGTTTTCTCTCAAATATGCCATTTCCGTGGAGTCTCAGAACTTGCACTTGCAGGTGGAACCTTTCTGCATCCTCTCATGGGTGGGCAGATATGAGTCCATCACTTTCTGTCCTTTGTCTACAACTTAATTGACTATGGTATTTCATCTAAAAAGAAAAAAGGCTGCTTATAAAACATCTGTGGTAAGGCTCAAGATCAAAATTTCTCAAATACGTAAATTACAGTAGTCGTAACCTTGTATACATCTTCTCCTTGACCTACCTGCTGCCTTTTTTCTTATTAGCATCCTCTCTCTCCCTCTCTCTCTCTCTCTCTCTATCAGCTTCAACATTTATAAGTAAACCTTGATTCCGTGTATCCTGAAAACAACTGTGAGGAGATTAACCTTTTATAATTACCATAGTTATGAAATTGAGTGCACTCCTCATGTAGCTTCAAGACAGGGACACAGAAAAAGTCTTCAATGGGGCATTTCTAGGGAGAAGTTGTGCCAAAGCTGTGCAGTGGATACTGAATCACAGTGGAGTTATTCACAGTTTTACTCCTCTGCTTCCCTGGAGCATCCTCTCTGGGGTGCAGGAGAAGGTCCGCACTATAGTTATCCCTACTGCATTTTTCTTGCCTTCCTAACAAGGGTGCAGAAACCCCAAAACATCCTCCAACATGCTTAGAACTACCGTATCATCTAATTCTCTGCTCATTTTAGAAGAACTGAGTTGCATATTTTGCTGATTGTTTTGTAACTATTCTAAGAATACAAACTCAATGCACACAACTGCAACACAGTACTGTAGATTTTGTAATTTCCAAATGCATATTCTTAGTAGCTGTATCTGCCTTTTAAAGGACTGATCAACTCTTACCATGCACATTTACTTGCCTTTGCAAGCATTATTTTTTAGCTGACATATGGAAGAAGGTATGATATTAAAAAGAAAATGTATTTTTCTCATGGTTTAGATGAAAATTGTCATGTTTGCATAAATTTTGTAATTTTAATTGAATTTTTCTATGCCACACATGTGTTGAACATTTTCACATTTTGCTCTTTTTTTACATGACTTTGTGTTCCCCACCCTGCCCACCCTGGCTCTTGCTGCAAAATTAGTTGTATAAAAAAATAAATTAATCTGTGAAAGAAGACTTCTGAGAACAAACTAAATAAAAATATGGTGAAGACTGGTTTTCAAGGCATTGGGATTTTGATTCTTGTTTTCACATTACTCTTGAGATGTTGTCAATGTCATTGCTCCCAGAATTAGTTGCTGACGGTTCACCCCAATAGGATTACTTGCACACTTAAAGTCAAGCAAGTGCAGAAGTGTTTGCAGAATCAGGCTCTTTAATGAGCATCTATACACTTGACTGCAAGAGCATGGGATGAATAATGAGTCATCAGCCCTCCGAGGGCAGTGTAGATCAGCTCCATGGCTGCTACTGTGGAACGTGGCCAGACACCAAAATTGCACATGTCCTTTTCTCTTCAGTTTCCTCTCTCTTCCTCTCAGAAGTGGGGCCCTGACACTGTGACATTTCTTTTGTTCTCTGATCATTGTGTTTTCAGACACCTGTAGGATTTCTCAGAGGAGATTATGGGTGGTCCGGTTAATTAGTTTTTCCGTTTGACATCCTGGTGCATCAACCCGATTGCTTTGTAAAAGGAAGTCTCAAAAAATGGCTCTTTTTGGATAACACCTGGAGGACATCAGCAACATCAGAGCCTTTATAAAATGGACAGTGTGGGCACACAGAGCAGGAGAGCTAACTCTGATAGTCTGTACTTTCGGAGAACTGAATGTGCCTGTGCATCTTTCCACAAGCATACATTTTATTTTTGAGGATGCTAACTAGGCACTGATCTTTTGTGAGGAAGATGTTCACTTAGCTATGAAGCAGAAGAGGAGTGGCTTACATGTCAACTGGTCAGCAAAAGCTTTCATCCTAATTTCTCTTGTGACTTTTTAGCTTTCGAGATTGTGAATATAATATTTTCTCCTGAAGTATTACATACAACATCCTTTTTCAATTACCACACCAATCAACTACATTCCCCACCTCCGACTTCCTTCATGAAGTACCTGATCCCCAAGATCAGTGCAATCCTAATGGGGCACATTTAATCATGTATTTTATAATTCAAGCTTTACGGCACAAACTCACAGCAAGTGGTTGCTTGTACATGTTATGTATGGATAGGATTTAAACTGTTTTGTATTTCAAAGAAATTATCCAATGTAGAATTAGTCTTTGGCTAAATGTACGCCATAAATATGCAGGATGACATGTTACAGATGAGTTGATGCTACATTGGAAGAATCTTATTTTCTGCACTGTCTAATTTCTTACTGTATGTCTGCAGTGACCTGATGTTGTGAGCACTTAGCTGGCATTGGTATTTTACCTTCTACCTCCACAAAGACAAGGAAAAGTCCCAACATACACAGCTCCCAGACATAGCAGTTATTTGCAGCTTACATCACTCTCCTCTGTGGGCTGGCTGCACTGACTTAAAATGGACTTCAATAGGGTGGCACAGATATTTGCCAATGGCTAATTAAATTAAGGGCTCCATCTGGACTTATGGATTTAACTCAGAATTTCCTTGCATTTATGATTTCACTGTGTAACAACGTAATTATATAAATCTGTTGTCATATCTAAATGAAGGACACAGATATAATCCTTGAGTATGTTACATAAACCCACACATCTTCAGTTCCTAGAAATGTAAACCCACTTTCATGCTTTTAAAAAATAGTTTTTGCTTAATAAACGAGTTTATTTTACCTGTGCCAAATATTTTTTTGATATTTATAAAATATGGCCTCTGAAAAGAGTCTTATTTTACTTCAGGTACAAAACACAAATTATCATCCTTAACTTCTAATATTTTTGGGTTTTGAATAGATATTGATTTTTCAACAGAACAAAAAGGTGTTGGCTGTTATTTTCTTCTGTTCATGGTTTGTGTTATATGTAGGGAATCTTTTACCAGTAATATTCCTAAATAATGGGTTCTGGGCATGCATATGATGGCATATTTTGTTAACGCATGAACAGAAATATCCCAATCTCCAAATCTCATCTATTGCAACCTTTAAAAAAATACGAATGCTCCAGAGGGAACAATGACTGTGCCCATTGCATGACTTGCATTACCGATGATAACTGAGCAAAAATTAACTTCATGTCATGAAAGTGCAAAGCAAAATAAATTAAATTATTTGTATCAAGTTTGGCTGTATCTGCTAAATATTTTCTAGCCATTCTAAGAGAGAAAAACAGAAGGCAAACTGGCAATGAATAAAACCAATAATGGTCAGTAGCATGTGTTGCATGTTTTTTGAATGGAAAGTAACTTATCACATCTGAAATAAAAGCTGTTTATTCTTGTGTTTCACTGTGTGTAACAATCCTTGCAATTTATCTGTGAAAAAGTGAGAAACTGTACCTCCATTAGCATATGAATACTTGACACATCAATTTGGTTGTACAATAACAGAGGAACATTTGCTATTGCTGTGTGCATACAGATAAAGCAGCCATTTTGAGGGGAGAGAGGGAAAAAATAAAATAAAATGGTGTGGGTATTTAACCCATTGTTTGTCTCGGTTTCACATGGCAGTTTTGATCAGCATAGCCGGGCAGAGTGACTGGAAATTCCTAAAAAAAACAAACCCAAGCATGCAGGTTAAATGCTGATACAAAAATGTGTTAAATTTGTATTCAGATGGTAGTGGATGAGACAATAAAAGAAATGCAAAAAAACAGTCCAAAATAAGTAATTTTGTTTGGTCTTTTAACATGTGCACCTGGGATGGGGTGGTAAAGAAATTAGGAGATTTTACAGAAATGAACCATTTCCTAGATACAGTCTTATTTCATGGCAACAGTATTGTGGGCCTTGGGTCAGATGTGTGAAACTATTTCTCAAAGAAGCTGCATACATAATTGAGGCCCTATGAAGGGTTCTCAGTTGAAGTTGCCAGGCTACATTCATTTCAAAAGCAGAGCCATTTGTTATCAAATTTAAATTAACTCTCTCAGCACTGGGTACGTAGTTGGAAGTGTGGCTTTGTAGACTGTATGTGCTGCCTGAGAGAGGAGGAGTGGTGCCTGCTCACTGACTGTAGCGTTATTTTGCAAAGAATGGAAATCTTTTCTGTATTTGGGCCTGAAAAGCAGTAATCTAAGAAGGTAGATTTCTGAGAGGTATCTTTATGCTTTTTTCTGTCTTGGAAGACACACTGATCTGTTTTCTCCTGTTCTTTTCTTTCACTTAAAAAAAAAAAAAAAAAAAAAAAAAAAAAAAAAAAAAAAAAAAAAAAAAAAAGAAAAAAGGTAATGATTTCAGCTTTAATTTTGGAATAAATTAACAAATCAATATTTGCTGATGTTTCTCCTGGAAGCACACTGTGACTGCCTTAACCAGTTGTTTTTTTTTTTTCTTTTGCTTTAAATGGAGCTTTGAGTGTTTAAACACATAGATTAGCAACTCAAGATATTTGTATTTTCCAGATCAACGTGGATTGAAAGAGCTGAATGTGATCCCCTAGCCTGTATGTGGACTGGTAAGAGATAAAAGACTGCACTAATTGTTATGATTTTTTGTTTATTTCCTTGAGTGTCCCAGTGTGCCGAGTGCTTGTCAAGCAGAGGAGAGATATCTGTGCCCAAAGGAGCCCACGTGGCTGTTACGCACAAGACGCATGGGATTTGCAATGCCATCTCTTAAGTAGCAAAGGGCAACTGCTATAAGCAAAGAGCCAGAGCCACAAATGTCCATTCACCATATCAATCTGTTTTCCCTGGGCTCTTTTCTTCCCTGTAATTGCTTTCAGTAAATACTGTAGCAGTTGAGTGCTAATGGCAAAATATTTGTTGAAAGTAAATTTCATATGCAGTGAAGAATTCTGTTGGCTAGAAACTTGGTACCCACTCTTGGTGGAGATGTTGGACACTCCTGAGCTTAGCAGAAACATATGTGCACTTGAAGGTAAAGTGATTTCGCTCAGATCCATGAGGATTACTCCCTAATCCTCACTGAAACGAACCACCTTTGAGCCAAAAATAAAAGAACAGATAGAGCACTTTCTCCAGCTGAAGGCAACTGATGAGTTCAGTGTAAGTTTTGTAAGTAAAGAAGTCACAGAGCAGAGGGGGGAAAAAAACCATGCTAAAGATAGCATTCTTAACTATCTGTGCTTTTACTTCTTGAAACAGGAGATTAGGGCATTTAATCTACATTCCTTCACCAATATAAGATGCTGATTTGTTAGAATCAAGTCAAGCCTGTTGTAACTGTTGACGGGTGTACTGGTAAGACTGAACTTATTTTTGCACTCTCTGGTTTGAGAGAGGACTTTGTTGCAGTAAAGACTATGGCAATACCACCAAACAGCAAGGTGACACATTAAAACAACCTTTCTTCTAAAAGAGGAATAAACAGCATTTTATTCATATATGTAAAGATGTTTCTCATTTGTTTAAGCATTTAGCAGGTGACTATTCCTAGTTGCCTATCACATTAGAGAATGATCCCTTGTATAATCTACAAATGTCTTTTGAAAAAGAAAAGGAAAAGATTAACTGATTTAAAAAGTGAGGAGAGTAAAGTTATACAGCATAATATTTGCCCTTTGATTTTTCTAAAGGAAAATCTGTCCCTTCCAACTCTAAACATTCTGTGATTCTGTGATATCATGTGTGTATGCCCCATGCTGCCCTGGATAATATTCTAAATCTACAAGCCATTTGCTTATGTGCAGCCCTGTGCAGCTAACAATGTGACAGAGCTAGTAAATCCTGTCAAGCACTCTGAGAATCTTGTTTATTTACTGGTGGAAGTGATGGACCATGCTTGTGTATCCATGACAACACTTCAACATGTTTTCGAAAGATAAAACATAGAGTTTATGATATTTGTTCATGGTAATATATCTGTGCTATTTCAATGTTTTCATTAGTTTCCTCCATTGATTGTAAATAATGCTGAATGGTGAACTTACACGGAAAGAGAAAACTTTGCAGTTCATGATGGAGTTTGTCAGCATCAAGCCTGGATTGTTAAGAATATCTGTTTTAGAGGGTATTAAATTGGATCATACTGTAATTTTAATCTTTTCTTGTAAGGTGTTACAGGTTCTTTTATATTTTTTGTTCTCATGTCAAATGCTTTGATTAGGAATGTTATATGATCCAGTGGATTAGTAATGTAATTGCCTATTTATATTTATAAATCCATGCATTCCCTCAGTGCATTTGTGTTTGCTGTACCATTGATATGTTAGACTGATATGATGGAGATGCAAATTATGTGTATGTGGTGGAATTTAGACATAAAATGAATTCTTTTTAAGCCACAGGTTTTCTTACTATTGCTCTTGATTGCATTACCTTTGCCTTGAGAAAGGTTGTGCACTTTTAAGGTTTAGAAAAGCACCGTGAAAAGTTAAATCAAATTAATTCTATGCTAGAAAATCTATGCAATAAAGGAAGAATTTAGCAATGGAGCAAGAAGGCTCCAGAAGAAAATTTATCTTCCTCTAACATGGCCAAATTCTGGCAGAGGTCTCTCAGTATTCATAGATTTAAATGGCAAAAGATTTTGATTTAATGTATCAGGTGTCCTCCAAACATATTGTGTTTTTCAGAAACATTAGTATTTAGGCTAATATCTAAAGTACAAGACTAATACATTACCTATATTCTGATTACAGGATAAAGAAAGTTTCTGGTTTAATATTAAGAGTGTTACACGCATCTGTCAGTTGATTCAGTAAAATTAGAGGTGAGGTCCTGAAAAATTTAGTAACCCTCAGCTGAGACCAGCCCACCACTGTATATTAAAAAAATGGGTTCAGGGTGTGGCAGTTCTGGAAATTATACAGAAAACACCCCAATATCCACTACCTGGCTTTTCAGAATAACAGCAAAATAAAATAGGTTTGGGGCCTTTTTTTTTCAAAAAAAGGTAATAAATATAATGTGGTTTTTTCCTATTTTCTATCCCATACTGTACACATTGTAACTGAACATCTCTGCGTAAACAAAACATATCTGTATGAACAAAGTGGCTTTGTTAAATAGCTGTTTTGGGAAGTATTTGCTCCTCAGATGGAAGAAACACACAAGTTTTGGTCTTCTGTTGAGTGATTTTGATCCTCATACTTTAGGGTGACGGGATTTCTTACACACCTCTTGTTCATCTGTATGCCTATGTACACACATAAATGAAGTTGTGTGCCTACGTACACACATAAATGAAGTTGTGAATTTTGAGGATAGGGAGGGGATAAAATTGTTCCTTTTGCTGTTTGAGTTAGCATTTACTCAGTCTGCAAGGTCAGAAAGAGCCTTGTGATAACGGCACCCATCTAAGTGAAAATAATTTGAATTTTCAGCACAAAAAGGAGTGGAAGACTGAATAAGTCTATTTTCAGGCTAACTTTACAGTGTTACATCTTTGTTATTAGAAAAAAGAATATTTTTCAGGATTCTATCTTTGATGTTCATGCCAAACTTCTATCCGTCTAGTGCAGAGACTCCTTTTTGCAATATTCTTCTCTTTTTTCAGGTCAGACTTTGTAGACCATCACTGTTCTGCCATCTTCAAAATAATTCTAAGAAGCTGTTGTACAGAAACGTCAGAGAAAACTCCTAAAAAAAAAAAAAAGGAAAAATAAAAAATAAAGGCCTGGCCAAAGGAGAGAGCTCTGCAATCTCCATAACACAAGGAGATAAAAATGGGATTGATCCCCTTTGAACAGTGTTGCTCACCCTCGTACTAGCACGTAAGTATTTATACAATAGCATAAATTTCTAAGGCAGATAGTTTCATTAATCATCCATTTCTGATGACCCAACCCACTCAGTTTAAGAGCAACCTGGTAATACTATGGGGATATTTCCCTCCTATATGCTGATTGACTAGAATTCAGATAGATGGAAGAGACTCAGAGAGATTTATTCAATTTTTACAGTTTTAGAGAATAGTGTGCCTTTAGGGGGAGGGGGACTGCAGGGAATAAGTGGGAGACAATTGAGCTGTGGGCAGCTTGGGCCCTGAATTTGAGCCATTGCAGCTGCGAAGTTGTGAAAGAATATAAACATTGAAGATAAGAGGGTGGACAGGGAGGATAGAGCTGCGGGGCAGCTGTGATAGCCAGAGAGCCCAAACTGTTTGCTGAGTCACCCTGAGTTTGCAGAAGCTACAGAGCAGCCAATCTTGACATGTTTATGTAGTAAAGACACCAATAGTAATGAAACACGCTGGCTAGAAAAAGACTATAAATTGGCCATGTTTGTATGAAATAAAGGCTTTTCTACGTGAAATCCCAGTGTGGTGCCCGTCCCGACAACGACAAATAACACTATACCTACTTGCCACTTAGAGACAGGTAAGGAATATTACAGCCTGCTGGAGACCATAGCAATTTGTCTCACTTGACACTTTAGTAAGGTCCCCTACTGGAGTTTGTTCGAACTGTGTAAAATGATGATTAATCCTCTGAGCACATGCGTCATGGTTTTCCTGGCTCTGCATGCAGAGATCCTTTAAAACATTCAGGAATGGTCAAAAATTGGTTGGCCATGGTGATCATCAACCCTTGGAGGGTTTCCTTCCAAGGGTAATAGAAAAATTAGATATTTTTAAATCCAATCTGAGAAAACCGGTCTCTTGAGTGCATATGGTTTTGGATTCTGGTTAAACAAAATTTTAAGATTATTTTTCAGGTTATAAAGAAGACAGATGAACAACACAGAGCTTGTTAACAAAACCAGCAGCAGCTTTACAAAAAGTAGCTATGATGATATCTGCTTTCCTAGTTTTGTTTTCACTTTAATAGGCATCTGTGTACCTTTTCTTAGTTGGTACAGAGTGTGCAGTGCACCTGAAGTTCAAGGCCAGGTTGGACAGTGCTCTGAGCAACCTGGTCTAGTGGAAAGTGTCCCCACTCATGGCGGGAGGGTTAGAGCCAGATGATTTTCTGTGCCACTTCCAACCCAAACCATTCCACGACTCTATGATTAGCATTTGGGGAAATTGTTTCTTTCCTATAGCTGAGCTGAGCTATTTCAAAATCTGTCATATCATAAATGAATTACCCAGAACTTTCTGGCACATGCTGCAGGTATATTTTCAGTGATTTTTTTCTAAAAATACTTAATTTATTAGCAAGTTCAGCTGCAAGAATTGGTGATTTTATCAGCTATATTTCTGTAGGCTGAAGTCAGATATCTTTAGTGTAGTTGCGCAACGATAGTAAATGATAGTTTGTAAATATTTTTATGCAACAGTAGATTAAAATACAGGCAGTAAACCCACCAGAAAGCAGGCAGCAAATTAAGATGGGGTGAAATAAGTCACCAACTAGAATTTAAACTAGACGTCTCAAAAATACTTGAAAATTAAACATATTTTAAGAAAAAGTAAGTAAGAAGACATCCCAATTTGTAACTTATTTCTGCATGTAGGCACACAGAAGGATAGAGTAGCTTTAGGAACTATAATCCAAATGCAGGAATAGGAAAAAGTTCAGCCCTTCTGTACATAGAATACTGTAAATTTTTTCTTTGTATTTCTGTGTCTAAAAGTGAGGAAGGGCAGTGGGAGTGACAAAGATAGAGAATTGGGTGATAAACCTTAATTTTTGATTAGTAATGTGAACAAAGTTCAGAAAATAATAATTATGGAAAACCTGTAGCATGGCCTAGAGTTCTCATCAAAATATTTTTACTGCTTGTTCCCTCAGGATACCAGTCACCAGGGTGTTTCACAGACAAAAGTAATAAAATCATTGAATATGCTGAGTTAGAAGAAACCCACAAAATTCATCAAAAATCCAGCTCCTGGCCCTGAACAGGACATCCCAGGAATCACACCATGTGCCTGAGAGAGTTGTCCAAACACTTCTTGAACTCTATTAGGCTTGATGTTGTGATCACTTCCCTGGGGAGCCTGTTCCAGTGCCCAGTCACCCCCTGGGTGAAAAACCTTTTCCTAATATCCAACCTAAACCTCCCCTGACTCAGCTTCATGCCATTTCCTTGAGTCCTGTCACTGGTCATCAGAGAGAAGAGATCAGTACCTGCCTCTCATATTCTCCTGATGAGGAAGCTCAAGACCACGATGAGATATCCCCTCAGTCTCTTCTTCTCCAGGCTGAACAGACCAAATGATCTCAGCCACTCCTTATTCAGCTTCCCCTCCAGTCCGTTTACCATCCTTATGGCCCTCCTTTGGATGCTCTGTAATAGCTTAATGGCATTCTTATATTGTGGTGCCCAAAACTGCAAACAGCAGTGCAAACTGGCCACTCCAGCGCAGAGCAGAGCAGGACAATCCCCTCCCTTGCCCAGCTGGCAATGCTGTGCCTGATGCCCCCCAGGACACGGTTGGCCCTCCTGGCTGCCAGGGCACTGCTGACTCATATTCAACTGGCCATTGACCAGGCCATTTCCACAGCACTGCTTTCCAGCTTCTAATTTCCCAGTCCATATGTACATTTGAGGTTGCCCCGTCCCAGGTGTAGAATCCAGCACCTGCCCTTGTTGAAATTCATATGGTTGGTGATTCAGCAGTCCTCTAATTTGTCAAGGTCTCTCTGCAGGGCCTCCCTGCCTTTGAGGGAATCAACAGTTTTTTCTTGTAACATTTTCCAAAATTTCTGCTCTGTTCGTATTCTCTTTTTGATCATGTTATACACAGAATTTCATCAAGAAAGCAATTTTTCAATTTGTAACTAATTTTTTCCTTTTTTTTAACAGCTATTTTTGTTATACTAAGGTTACATTTTGTAGGGACAGATATAGAAAATATTTCAAGGTGCTTTGCTATGTTTTTAATGTGTCTGATGGTATTACAGAAGTTTTCAGTGCAAAAGGATAAGGATGGGACTCAGTCAATTAGGATATAGGAGATTTTAGTTAATTTGCGCATATTAATTATATTACTTACAGGTGATAGGATAAAAGGTTTTAATTTAGTTGCTTAAAATTAGGAAGCTAAAACCATCTCAGCTAAGACCATTTTTCACCAGTCTCATTTTAAAATTATCAGATTCCTGCCTTCTGCCATTTCCTGTGTATTTGTAGAACATATTAATCAATTAGTATTGATATTGCTGAATGATGTGACCTATTTACTCATAAAAAAAATTAAGTTGACTTGGCCCTCTTATGAGATTGCATGTGTTCTTAATTGGTTTAATTAGTAGTACTTTCACCAATAAGCCAACTCTAAAGCTCTAAATGCTTTATTTGCGTATCTTCTGAATGTATTCTGAATATTAGCTCGTAATACTATTTTACAATAGTAAGTCTAAAATACAGTGAATTATAAAGCTTGCAGAATACATCCAACTCATTGACTAACTTCTAAAGAGTCAATAAAACACCTGGGGACTGTGAGACTCAACATTGCCCCTAGAAGAAACTCAGTGAAATACTTAATGATATTGGTATACTGTGAGATCCTGGATCCGAATCTCACTGAATTGTTGATATGGGTTGAAACCACCTCACCGTGAGTGTGTGTGTGCATGTGAGGAAGGGCTGGGCCTGGACCTGCAGGAACATGGCAAAACCTGCACATAAGGCCTGTGCTGAGGGCACAGGGCAGAGCTGGAGGGCAAGGCCTGCTGCCCACACAGAGCACAGGCAGAGCTGCAGGCCCTGTTGCCAGACTGTTGGTCAAGGCAGAGCAGCCTGGTAACCCACCCACACTACGCCCTTGAAGCCTGGGACTGGTTACAGCACAACTCACTCTGGCCTGGAAAGCACTGACTGGATATAGAATCATAGAATAAAGAGGGCTGGAAAAGACCTCTGAGATCATCAAGTCCAACCCTTGATCCAAGACCACTGTGGTTACTAGACCATGGCACTAAGTGCCACATCCAGTTTCATCTTAAAAACCTCCAGGGATGGAGAATCCACTACTTCCCTGGGCAGCCCATTCCAATGCCTGATTACCCTCTCTGGAAAGAATTTCTTCCTAATATCTAATCTGAATCTCCCCTGGCAGAGTTTAGGATTATGCCCATATCTTACTCACAGTTGTCTGGGAGAAGAGACCAACCCCCACCTGGCTACAACCTCCTTTCAGGGAGTTGTAGAGAGTGATGAGGTCACCTCTGAGCCTCCTCTTCTCCAGGATAAACAACCCCAGCTCCCTCAGCCTCTCCTCATAGGACTTGTGCTCGAGTCCCTTCACCAGCCTCGTTGCTCTTCTCTGGAGCTGCTCCAGCACCTCAATATCCTTCCTGAACTGAGGGGCCCAGAACTGGACACAGCACTCCAGGTGTGGCCTCACCAGTGCAGAGTATAGGGGAAGAATCACTTCCCTGGTCCTATTGGCCACACTGTTCCTGATCCAGGCCAGGATGCCCTTGGCCTTCTTGACCACCTGGGCACACTGCTGGCTCATGTTCAGCTTCCTGTCAATCCAAACTCCCAGGTCCCTCTCTGTCTGGCTGCTCTCCAGCCACTCAGTCCCCAGCCTGTAGTGCTGCAGGGGGTTGTTGTGGCCAAAGTGCAGGACCCGGCACTTGGCCTTGTTAAACCTCATCCCGTTGGAATCAGCCCAACTCTCCAACCTATCCAGGTCCCTCTGCAGAGCCCTCCTGCCTTCTAGCAGACCAACACTCTCCCCCAACTTGGTGTCATCTGCAAATTTGCTAATGGTACTCTCATCTAAATAATCAATAAAGATATTAAACAGAACTGGACCCAACACCGATCGATCCCCAGGGGACACTACTGGTGACCAGCCACCAACTGGATGCAGCGCTGTTCACCACCACTCTCTGGGCCCAGCCATCAGCCAGTTCTTAACCCAGCCTTGTCCAAGCCGTGGGCTGTCAGCTTTTTCAGAAGAATGCTATGGGAGACGGTGTCAAAGACTTTGCTGAAGTCCAGATAGACACATCCACAGCCTTCCCCTCATCCACCAGGCGGGTCACCTGATCATAAAAGGAGATCAGATTGGTCAGACAGGACCTGTCCTTCCTAAACCCATGTTGGCTGGGTCTAATCCTTTGTCCATCCCGTACATGCTGTGTGATATCCTGCCTGGGAGGGAAAACTGAACTCTATAAATACACAAGACTCCATGCAGTCTGCCTCTTCTCTTCTCCCTCTCCAGCTGGCACCATGTGAATCATCGAATCTTGTCAGTAACCCTTTTTTTTTTCCTTTTTTGTCTCTCCTTCTCTCTTTCTTCTTTATTTCTTTATCCCTTTTAATCTGTTTTATTCTTTTACTCTTTTCCTTCTCTTGTGGGTAACTTAAAACCAACGAATTGTGTTTTACTTAAGCTGATATATGGATTGTTTTAGTGAGAGTTTCCTGTGGAATGGGTCTTCGTGCTGAACATGAAGCATAGTGAAATGCATTTTTCTTGGTTGTATTTTACTCCTGTAAGAACTTTTTGCCAAAATATCTTATTTTTCTTACTAAAAAAGAACTTTTCTTAGAGAAGAGTGTGTGACTCTTTCTCCAGACACTAATTAGAGATTATAATAAACCAAAAGGCTTTTAAAAAATCTTAAATAAAAAATGTAACCACTCTGGGAATTTTATAGCTTAATCCTGAATGCAATATATACCTAAATATGCAAGCATGCTCCTGTTCTTACAGCTGTGACTAGGTCTAAGTTCAGTGGAGTTTTTCTTGATTTACCTCTCTCTGACAATAGTTACATGACATGAAGACGTTATTTGCATTAGTCTGAAAATAAATATTAGGCTAAGCAGATGTATAAGAATTTGTCTCTCAGACTCACAACAAACAGGTTACTGAGGTCCCTGAGCTATCTTTATGTCCCATGTGTGTGAATCGTATAGATGAACCTATTATTTATACATGGTCTAATCAAACAGTTCATGTGATATATCTGTTTAAAGCTATGGGTTTACCCTACACCTGCCCATATTTTTTTCTATAAACTGCTCTGAAATATAATTATTTCACTTCATATTTTATACAGAAGATGGCGTTTGGAACTGACTTGATGTACATTTGGCAGGAGGCCAAAGCAGAGCAGAATCAACATCCAGAAGAAAATGCCAAATACAAGAAAATAACAGGGACTTAATATGATTTAATATCAATAAATTGTTTGAGGTTAGTGGAATGAATCCTTGATCTTTTCTTCTTCTTATAAATTACAAATGATTTTATAATGTATTATAACCATTGTAACTCCTTCCAACTAGGTCTATTCATCACAGCCTGGACTGAAACACTGCTTTTCCTCCATGTCATGGAGCCAAACTGTTGAGGAAAGTTTATGGCAGAAGACCTACTGACCCTGTTCAAGAGCCTGTTCCTACTGTTTTCTACAATTTCCTCTGTGCTTTTTTATTAAAGTAACAGGTACCATCTCTTACTCGGACATACTGTGATGCAGCCATCCTATCAATCCCCACGTCCAAAGTGTTTTTGAGTCTCAGCACGCAAAGCTTGACTTTGGGCTATGCCTAGCACAGCTGGTGCCAAATAATGTGAATTTTCTTCCTACCTCACATATAGAAAGGCCCTGGTGGCGCCCTACCTCTTCCCTCCTCTTCTCTCATTTGGGTGTTTTATGTGAAGGAATCACAGCAACTGAGATTTGGCCTCACTTCTGACACACATTTCACTGTTGAGCTTCCTCCTTCTTCATCTACTGCCCAACTTGCAGCCTCTCCCTTCCCAGCTCAGAAAATCTGAAGTACTTTATACAGAGGACAGATGCTGTGGGCTTGAGAGGGTCTCACACCCTGGGGCATCAGGGTTAGGGCATGTCCCAAGCAGCTGCAGGAAGGGATAATGCTCAGGAAGGTAAAGGTGTGACATAAGCCTGTGTTTACTATGCTCCCATTGAATCACCGAAGAGAATACAGCAAAGAACAGATAGGAGGTACCTCTGACTCCTCTGCTGGCTGTAGAGTGCCACATCCAGTCCAGCCTATATCTTCTTGAAGATTTCATGAGATGGGCAAAGGTGAGAAAGCCCAAGAGGCTGCAGATCATAGAATGGTTTGGACCTTTAAAGGTCATCTAGTCCAACTACCCTGCAATGACCTGGGACATTTGACATTTGATCAGGTTGCTCAGAGCCCTGTCTAACCTAATCTTGAATGTTTTCAGGGATGAGTCACTCACCACCTCTCCAGGCAACCTATGCCAGGGCCTCACCACCCTCATCATAAAAAAAAAGTCTTCCTTTTGTCTAGTCTGCAACCCATCTTTTTGTAGCTTAAAACCATTTCCCCCATGCTGTCACTACAGGGCCTACTAAAAAGTCTGTCGCCACCTGTATCACAAGCCCTCTTTAAGAATTAAAATATTGAAGTCTACTGTGCTGCAGTAGACTTGAGAACAGACAAGGTAAGTATCTACAAGGCTTGATGAGACCCACTAACTTTTAAACGTTCTCTTGCTTTTGCATTTTAAAGACATCTTACCTAATGTGTTTCTTAATTAGTTACCAATAAAGTGACGATATCAGTGCTGCTATAATATCAGCAGTGTGAAGAACATCTGACTGTGATATACTGTATCTCCAAATGGACAATAAAACATAAAGAATTATTTATATTGAGTTAACAAAATGATCCCCAAAAGATGCTAGAGCTTCCATTTAGCTCATCTGATGTTTAAAAATAAAGGAGCAAGCATTTACGTTCACACATCTGCTGCTTGATCTTATCACCATCATCATCATCATCATTGCTTTACATGAACATAATTACTCTTTGTGTAATATATAAATTCAAATACAATCTGTAATGGCATTCTAAAAACTGCTGGGAATTAAATGCTTACTTTCCATAGCCTGGTATAAATGATGTTTGCAAGTAAGTATACACTGTGTAAGGATGAGAACTGTTACTTTACAGGAGACAGGTATTAGAAAGTGAAAATTGTTGTCAGTTTGCCATAGAATTAAACTCAAAACCAATAAGGCCTTAGCTGGTTTTATGTTCTGTAATGAGCAAGGAGCCTAGGCTGGGCTCACTGACATTTTCAGATACCCAACTATGCTGATTTCTTATTTCAGATGAGAATCACAAAAAGGTTGTGGCTCCTGGAATCAAGATAAACTTAAAAAGTTTTGGCTCAATCCTGTTTTCAAGCTCTTTACTAGAAGTGTGGTGGGACAACCTATAAAGAAGAAATACATTCTGCTGTCTAACTGAGATCATCTGGACAATTCCAAGACAAGTCCTACACCACCCTACCTATTCTCTATGGTTCACTGGAGCCTACGCTACTCAAAAAGTCATGCAGTTTTGGGGCTGTGGATTTTAGTTTCTTTCCCTCCTAAGACAAAAATACCCAAAATATTAAAGACAGTATAAACCTGCACCACAGCTGTGTAAGGTGGGCAGAGAGAACATTTTCCACTAAAACCCTGCTACTGGAGAACTTCCAGATCCTAAAAAGAATTTAGAAAAAGTAAATCACAGGAATATCAACATGGTGTGAAAGAATGGAAGATCAAGAGAAAACAGGTTTCACTTTCACTCTCTGGATTAGAGGGAAGCTCTTCTTGCCTCCTTTTCCTGAGGGATTGATGGGTGTGATGTACAATGGTGGGTAGCCAGTAAAGACTGGCCCCCATGTCAGGAAGATGGAATAGTCTCAGAGCAGTTCCAAGAAGAACTCAATTTTAACTGGATTTGAAGAGGACCGTAATTATGCCTTCGAACTTTCAGCAGGCTGTGTCAGATACATCATTTAGAAGGTTCCACAAATACTGAGGTATCCCTGCTCCATGGAGCAGCCTGACAGAGAAACATTCTGCTAGGTCTATGAGTTGTGCCGCCTGCAGGTCTGACCACTGGCTACCTCCTGCTACAGAGCTGCTAAGAAAGCCCAAATTGATGTACTTGATCTGTGCTGAGAATTGCATGATGTTCCACAATTGCAACGAAAGAGGCCATTAATTCTGCAAAAGCTACTACATAATTTCACGTAGACACTTCCCATTCAGAAATATATTTCAATTAAACTAATTTCTGAATAAAAAATTAAGTGGAGAATTCAGTGGATGGCACCAGGGTCAAAGTTTGCCATTCTGGATTCTCCACTGCTTTGGGGACAGGGACAGTTCTGCTTTTGGACAGCACATGGGATAAGAACAATCTTTGAGAGGAGGCACCACCAAAATCTGACTCTCAGTAACTTTTATCTGGTCCCTTTCATTATTTCCTTATTGCAGCATATACTGGAAATGCAGATTTTCTATTAAATTTCTACTCACTTTTGTACTTGCTTTCACCACCATGGACTACAATAGACAAATAAGTTAATGACATCTTTTCATTCTAAGCATATAAATTTCAGAAACAGGCCAATTTATAGTCAGTCATAATTTTGCAATGGAAAGCAATGGGGAAAAGCTATGATCAGTACCCAAAACATGACTTTTCTATTTTGTAATATTTATAAATTATATCCTAAACCTAAAAAACAGTTTGTTTCTATGAAATGTGGTTATGTATATTTAATTCTTTAAAAATTTCTTAGAGAACTATCTTCATCTTGGCTATCAAATTATTGCTTTCTCAAAAGATTTACTCCTTTTTTCTTATTCTTAGCAATATATTAGAGAAGATAAAATTCAGTGAAAAAAATCTTAAGCCAATTTCATTTTACTTGTACTTTTATTGCTATTTTGCATTCATATTATAAAAATAGAATTTAGTCTTTTAGAAATCCTCTAGATCCTTTGCAGACAAAATCTTTGTTGATATTGCTTGAAACAAAGATTATAAAATGGAGTGGTGAGATTAGTTCTCTGTGTGTGTGTAACAGTGCCTGATTATTTTTCATGCCATGTTCTCCTATCTGTTCAGAACACTTTTTCCACCAGTACAACTCAACATTTGATATAATTAATATATATCTCTTTTTAAAATGAAGAGTTCATGTTGCTTAAATGTATCTCTTTGGTTGGACTTTTAATAAAATATTTCAACTATTTTAAATTGCCATTTCTAGACCTTTCAGAAAGTTAAGCTGACAAAGAGGCTTCTCTTTTTGATCTTGATCATTTTAATCTGGGTATTATGGTGATGGCTAAAGTCTAAAGATCTGTGCAGCACCATCCTATAGTGATAGTAGAATTAAAATAGCACACAGTACTTAATTTTAAATAAATTTTTTTAAACGTTTGGGCCACACAATATATGACCATAACACATTCATCGCTGTTATAGAATAAATGGCTTTGAGAGCTGTGGATTTATTTCAGTGTTCCGAACTGTTCTGGAGAGAGTGCTTAAACCTGCATAGTGGCAATAGTGGAAACAAGGTACTTGAGGCATTGCTTCTTCACAGATAGGGCAGAGCTAAACTCCGCTCAGTGACCATCAGAGAGGAGTGCAGCAGCTTAGACTTCCAGTGGATATCATGATAGCTTTGCTTTCTTCCCCTAAATTAATAGAGTGGGACTAACTGTTGGTGCACTGGGCAAGGTGCATTTAGCTGCAGGTCCAGCTACATTTCCATACAATGAAGTGTTGATATCAGACAAACTGCAGGTAACCATCTGGAAAAGAGGAAAATCTGCTCATGGACAACCATCCTACTCCCCATTAACTACAAGTCTTTTCTCTAACCTCTAAACATTTGAGCTAATGGGAATACAGTGCTGAGCAAGGAATCAACTGTGCTGGCTAAAGGGCTGCTGTCTTGCTTCCACTTTAGAAGTGAGAAGAACAAGAACTGAATTGTTACTCTAATACATCAAGTCTCTTCAGAGCATCTTACATGGGAACTCATTTAAACATTCTTGCTTGGGAATAATTCATGGGATAGGTAGATCTGGCTTCAGATTTGTAACGGATATTGCATAATAGAAAGTAAAACAGCAAAAAGTACAAAATTTGGACCTTAAGTGTATGCATACAGTATTTGAGGGCAAAATTAGTCCCACGTTACTTAACAGAAAATCAGAAGAGACATGGACCTACAACACTAATTGTTACCCTAGGAGGATGAAGGCAGTGCCACCAATATCCAAAAATGTGCAAAGAAAAAAAACCATGCATTTTTGTATTTCCCTTTTGACTTTTATTTTCATCTGTGTGACATTGAGTTGAAGAGTTAATAAATTTTCGTTGCTACAAGAGGTCATTTCACAACTAAATGTAGCAATTTGAAGTGGGAAATGTAACAAACACCAAGAAGATGTTTAATGAAGTGGCATTCTGGATGTACTTGTTAAAGAGTACATTTGCAGAACTGTTTGATTGCTTAGAGTATGTAGGAAGCTATAAACCCAGCAGAGCATTAGTGCTGATTTTCAGAATTGCATTCAGCTCAAACGTCACCATTCCACTTGGAATTGCAAATAAATCTAATACTGAATTACCTAATATCATGAAAATGTTACTATGCAATTTGCATAGCAAAATGCTCAGAAAAACGGCGCTTCCTTCAGCCTAAACATTAAGAACATAAGACTTGAATCTGCTTATTAATATTAAAACAACTGCAGCCAGTCTTAAGATTGATGAAAAAGTTTTGTTTAAACAGCACAGAGCTGCAGTTTAACCATGTCTCACATCAGTTGGATCTTTACATTTTTGCCTGCTGACAGCAACTGTAAAATAGTTTACTTATAAAGTGCCAATATGCTAATACTCCAACTGTCAATATTGATTTTATTTAAAAGAAGCAGGCTGTCTGAGTGGCTTTGCATGTCAATGCATAGGCTCAGTGCCTAACACTGTTCAATGTTCATTTCAGCTTCTAAATCGCAGCATGCAATGTACAGAATTCAATCTTTGGCCCAATTATTATTGAAAGAGCAAGAAATCATAGATATCTAATCACATTGGAATTGACTTTGCTGCTGGAAAGAGTTTGGTTTTGTGTCAGTCTTATTACCATTAATTGGTGTCAATCAGATATCTTAAATAAAAAACAAATGCTAGTCCTTCCTATTATTATTATTGTTGTTGTTGTTATTCTCAGTTTTATACAATCCTTTAATTGTTTCTTGACATTCTTCTACATTTGTCACCACTCTGATAAAAAAATATAAACTTTTTTTCTGCATCTCTCATGGTGCTGCATGGATGATATACATTGAACTAAACACAGAAAGTCAGAAAGTCACTTTTGATTTTAATAGGCATAAACACTAACCAACACAAATGATTGGAGCTGTTAAAATGTACCAGTTGCTGTCTCACATCTTCAGACTTTCAGTGTTTATGAAGGAACTAGGAAAAGTATGGATCTGTTGAAATATTATGGAACATTTTCCTCCATCAAGGATTAATTTATTAAAAAATATTTGAATATTCTTATTTTAAGCAAATGACAATTTTAGTACACTTTAATATGTTCAGAAACACATTAGATGGAGAAATAAATAAATTGTGCAACTCAAAGAAGGAAACACCCCTCTCAACACTCAATGTTAATGATGTCCAAAAACACCTGATCTTTTATTTTGACAGGTGATTGAATCAAGAGAACACCCAAGTCTTCCTTTCCAAATGGTGGGAAAGCAATTTTAACCTACTGTGAAGAAAAATCATATAAAAAATATGACATATGACCTTTTGTTATATTTATCCAGAAAGCTTCAATTCCAAAGCTGTTGATCTTTTTACAAATACTCCACGTACAACACAAAACAAAACCAACTAGTTCATTACCTCATTCAACAATGAACTTTTAAGAGACACATTATTTAAGTATCTCACAAATGGAAGAGAATTCTGTGTTTACAATCATTTATATTGCTACATAGAAACTAACAAAATATTTCCTCTTTATCTAGGTACTTAGATTGTGCTCAACAGTGTGGAATTACCCTTAATGACTTCCTTTCCTTAGGGAAGAATAGAATTTTGTCTAGTTGGTTCACAGTTACTTCTGAAAGTTAAGGACTGAAACAACGTTCAAATCTGATTTGTGCAAAAACAGCAGAATCATGTCTTTGTTTATCTTTGGAAATCATTGTCTGAGTGATAGTGCACATGTTCATGCAATTGAAGTTGTGTTCCATGGCCTTTGCAAAAATATGATGTAAAAGATGGTAGGAAATAAAAACACTAATTTCACGTGAGCCTATGTATATAACTACCTTCAATCTTTACCAGAGTATTCACTGCCATTTGTAGGGTTTATCTTGAAAAGTATCATTTGAGATTTTGGGTTTTTTTTACTGCTGGAAACAAGCAAGTGGGAAGTGTTTTAGCTGTAAGTGCTGTATCTCCCACTCCTTTGTAGAGAGTTGCTGAAGGAATCATGAACACATAAAACAGCTGTGCCCCATTAGTAAGCTGTCAGATGGATGCAAGTCAGTCACTTTGAACAAATATCCACACCCTCAGTTCTTCACAGCAGTCTTGAAGGCCCATTTTATGAGCAGATGTGCTATCGTAATCACACAGAATGCCGTCATTCAAGGAAAAAATAAAACAATCCCAGAAAGATATGTTTTTAGTTGCAGTAAACTAGAGAAATCCACTTCCATAATGTAATAAAATGGTTTCTGTGGCTCTAAGGAAGCATTTGAGGAGGGATGTCTTTCCAGTGTGATTTGCCCAGGTACAGTGGCAGAAGAGACAATTGCAGTCTGGAGAGTCTTTTCTTGTTCCTGCTGACTGTGATGATCTGCCTTCTGGATTTAAACTGGAGCTCAGGGGGATGAATCCCACTTTGGAACACTTCACAGCCATGTCAGGGAGTCAGGTACAGCCGGTCACCCCAGAGAGGCGCCTTGGCAGCGCCAGACATCCCCAGTGAGGGAGGAGCCCATCACTCCAGGCTGCCCTGGTCATTAACAGGCACTTCCAGAGAGTGATTCATAGGGCATATTTCAGATGCCTACCTTTGCATAGGAAGAATTATTGCTGAGAATTATGCCTATGTTTTGCAAAATGATCCCCACACTTGGTATCCCTTTGCTGACATCTGATGGGTTGCAAATATAAAAGCCATCTATGAAGTTCTGCATTTTCCAATATGATTAAATGTTTTATTCTTTAAGGATTGTCGTTTGTCTACTAGTTTTGGTCCAGGCTCTGATTGATCCTGGCAATTTAGCTGCAGATTCTAGTGGACATATTGCGTCAAAAAAACATCTCTCCTCCTCTAAAGTAACTGAGTGCTTGAATGCCTTTAATCCAGCTAGAGATAGCAACTTCCACAAAAGCATCAGTCAAGTGTTCTTGTGGCATTTGTGATGGAAAATTGGACTATCTTTGTTACTAATGCATATCAAAAATCATACATGTACTTGTTACTGTGAGTACATGTTGGACAATTTCATGTGTCTATTTTAGTTTAATGGTAACCTATAATGTTTCATAACAGAAGAGGAATAAGTGTGGGGATTAATTCTGAAGTACTCATACACTACCCATCAGTGTTACAATGACCCTTCAAATGAGCCAAGTATTCCAAACCGGGAAATTAGTTAATTAATTAACTACAAACTTTGTTTTGTTGATGATTGCACACTTCCATTTTGCTAATGCAACTTCTTTGTCAGGCCCTTTTGTGTTTCACATGAGAAACTGATTTTCCCTTGTTTTCTGACAACACAGACAACACAGGAAATATATAAATGAAAAAAAACTGGTTCAGTCAATTCAAACAAGGAAGCAAAGACTGTATTTTGGAGATTTTCATAAACACAATTTGAAGAGGTAGCAGTGAACTAAACACAACATATTATATGCAAGCATTTGTAATAACAGCTCACAAACTTCACAGAATGTTTTATTACTATTAGTTCAACTGCACAATTGGTTTGTCACTTGGTATCTTACCCAACTTATAAATCTTCCTGCTACATAGGAAATCTATTCTATTTTGCCATCATCCTTCATATTCACCACACATCTGTTGCTGCTGTAGTGGGGAGTAAAATCTAAGGATCCTTTAAAACACTTCATTATTTTTTAATTCTACACTACAGCATATTAAAATTAAAAGTCCTGCACTTTATATTACTCAATGAGCCTTACAGAAATTTTCATACTTGTTTGGAGGGTTTTTAAGGACTGTTTCTTGTAAAATACATTTGGTAGAGCAACATCAAAGCAAAGCAGAGATGTCTGCTAGAAGATGATAATTCAGGTAAACACATTCAATGGTAAAAATGCAAATCTTGAACTGTGATTGACTTTGCTTCTATTTAAAGTTTATTTTCCCTGCCAAAGCAATGGCAATTTCAAACTAATTCCAGACCTGCTATAAAATAAATAAAACAAGTTTCCATGTTTTTTTTACCTAGACCTCACATGGTAAAACAGTGCTCAAAGGTTTCATCTAGTCAGCTTTCTGTTTTGTTCCGGGAACATGAGATGGAGCTCAAAAGAAATTAGCTCAGTTATAAATGTTTCCAAACTAATTAAAATTGTACAGAAACGTACCACTCCTATTCTATACACAACAGCAATTGTGACTTCTGAGTGTATTGCACATCTGCTAATTGTGATCCATCCTCATAATTAAACTTTTTCAATCAGTAAAATCCCCTGCCTGGGAATTAAAAAGATTTTGAATAAAAGTATCCTGCAGAATTGGACACAATCCTGCACAGAGGAAAGTCTGTCTGAATGATGCTTTGTGCTTGGGGGTGTTAGAAGGAAGGGCACTCCCTGATGGGATACGCACAAACTGGGAAGGTTTCCTACCTCTGCAGATTTCACAAGCTAATTTAAAGCAGAATGTTCCACAGGACATGACATCACCTAGAAAAGGGAGAGAAAGGAGCACAGCTAGAAAAGAATCCTGCAGCATCATTTGCTGTTTTCACACTATCCTTTTTTTCCCCCTGCTATTGCAGTGCATCTCCTTTTAGGACAACTCTGGAGTTATCTTAAAGTTCCTAATTTCTGAGAAGAGATGGCTGAAATTTGGTTTCCTGGATGTATTTGCATTAGGTCCAGTGCTGTAAATCCCAAACAAGCCCACTGCAGCTTATAAGTGCCTTGGATAGCTGCATCTTCATGTGGCATCTTCCATGGAGCCTATAGCAACATAAAATAATAACCAATAGTCATGTTACAATTAATTACCATTAATAATAATAACCCTTTTTACTCAGACATCATTGACGACTTGTGCCTTCACCAGGTAAAAGCTTCCCCTGCAGAAATCTGCTTGCTGTTTACAATATTTGCCTGTCAACCTTGCTCTGTTCTCCTATTCCCAACAATATTAATATCTCTTCCAAAACAGTATTCTCTCTAGATGAGAGCGCATTAGCACAAGGAAATGTCAAATAGCCTAATTCAAGCACTTTTAGAAAACAGACATAAAATTGAGACTGTAACAGTGTAAGTAGAGCGGTGAAATTACACTCCACCAGAGAAAGAGAGAAATCAAGAGACACGGAGACAGAGTTACAGACAGCTAGACATCCATTACATGTCTGTGCTGAAACACTCCTATTCACAATAGGAGATACACATCTACCCACAGCGTCACAGAAAACTCATACTAATTTTCATTTATAGGAACCACAGCACTGGCAAGGATGTTACCTCGACTTTTCCATCCAGTACAAGTCTCTCCTGGAAGGGATGGGGGGCTGCTGTGGGAGGTGTCTCAGCCACAGGGGCCAGGTCCAGGCATGGTGTGATGTCCCGGTGTGATATGATGCTGTACCCCCATACATGTGCTCAGGGAAAGCACATTTGGGACAAGCAAGAACTAACAAACTGGAACTAATGTGGCTGATGTTTTAGATCTCACCCACAGGCTTTTGGCCTTTTGTAGTTTTTTTTTTATTATTATTTTTTCTTTTTTTTTCTTTTAATTGTCCCATTTATTAATGTAGGAAAGAAATGGAGCAATGAAATTTAGAGTGGGTAAGCAAGTGAAGATGCTATTCGGCTGTAAATGCCCTCTTTGTCTTTTGGCCCCATGGGAGGCTGGGAGAAGAGGGATTGAGCAAGGAGGAACAGTTTGGAGTTAA